GTAGTAAGTTGAGTAGTAGCTCAAAGGATTACGCATGATCTCAGGTGACTTACTAGGCCTAAGTGAGCTTGATCTGCTCTGTCCGACTGTATGGGAGTCCTGTAGATGGACATTGTCTTTAGGAACGAGACCTCTGGGCATCGGACACTCTTTCTAGAGTTGTGTTTTCTTGTGATTTCGTTAGATCTCAAGGATGTGGCATATCTGATGGTACCAGCATAATGATGTTGGCACATTTTTTTGTATATTTTATTGTATCCATCAAGGGCAGTTTTTTGGATTCTCGATGCACCTTTAGAGAAGATTTTCCATGAAGTCCCAAATTTGTCTTTGTTTTTGCAGGGAGATTTGAATCTACTTACTGAAACATGGATTTGTTGCCACAACTTGCCAGTGGTTTTTGTTTCACTTACAGTAGCAGGAGAGATGTTCCACATGGGCTTTGCCAGGCTTTGGATCAGGCTGTCTACTTCCAGTGGACCAGTAGCCAAGAAAGAAAGTGACCAATTTGAACAGAACATAAAAAATGAAAGAGAGAGAGGAAAAAGGGTGCAATTAGGGAGCAAGTGCATGCTCGGCCTCATTGTCCACTGTGTTTGCTCTTCCTGTTAATTTTCTCATGTTGTTGTTGTTGTTGTTGCAAATGTTATGATATTATTGGGCCTGGTCATTTTGATTATTGGATGGAGTTTTTAGGTGTAATAAACCCTTAGAAAGGCTTTTGTTGAAACCGGTCGTGGCTTAAAGCATTGGGAGATATTGAATCTCTTGAAAATATTACTTTGACTCAGGAGTGATTGACGGCTCAAAGCCCAGCCAATCAAAGCCCTTGTTATTCAGATGTTGTTTAGACCGAACCTTTGGGATAAGCCTCTCACATTCCCAAGGGGTGTCTCCATGTTTTTTTTTTTTTGTTCTCGCCAGTGTTTGTGTTTTGTTGCCAGTGGCCATAATGATTATCTGCTATTTTTAGAAACAGTGGGTCATTTAATTTCGATCCAAACTCTAATTTGATCCGCTTTCATTCTCATTACCGCTTTAATTGTTTTAGACAGGTTATTCCTGCCATCAGCCTGACTTGGACATTGTAAAGTTTCATCAATTGGCTTTATGCACTCTCTCCCCTCTCTTTAAGAGACGTATTATTGGTTACTGCTTTGATACTCCATAGTTTGCATTTTACACAGTATTACATATGTTATGGAAACCCAGTAATTCAACTGTTTGCTTGTTTTCAGCCCTCCAGTTTGGCCAATGGGAATTCAGGCAAGAGGGAAACTATGAAGTCCGAGGGGACAAAAGAGTCTCGCAGTGATCAAGACGAGGGTAAATACTGAATTAATTTTGATACATGAGCATTTATGATATAATGTTGATGGCAACATTTTGACTCGTTTCACTCTTGATAGCCACATCTTAACACATATTGATTTGTTCTTTAGTGTTTAGTGAGTTAATTTTTTTTGTTTATTGCAAAATTAAATTTAATTCATTTTTACATTCTATTTTATTTATTTTTTGGTGCAAAATTTGAAATATTATACCTAGACCAGGTGTCCCACATAAACAAGGATGATTTGGAGAACTATTATATTATTTTTTTTTCTCCAGAAGTATTAATTTATTAATTAAGTGTTTAACAAAACACATTAGCTTTAAAAAATATTGGCCTTCTGGTCTCTAGCACTGGTTACTTCCATTTTATTCTAAGCACAATTTTTTGCTTTATTTTTAATGATATGTTGTGCCAAGTTGCTTTGAACCTGAAACAATTCCGTAACTTTTTCTGTTATTTTTCTTATAGGAGGAGATGAAGATCACTCGAACGGGCAAGCCAACCCTCTCAAAGAGGCCAATGAGCTGAATGGGACCTATGAAAACACGGACACAAAGAGAACTGAACAGAACCTCTCTGCAGGGTCACCAGCCCGATCCTCAACCATGGAGAATGGACTGTCAGAGACTGAGCCGCCCCATGGCTCTACAGTGGGCAGTAATGGATATATTCTAAGCAAACAGCAGGAAGACACAGTGTCAGCCCCACATAGGACTAACTGGTCCCCCGTAGGGGGTTCCACATTGGGGCATGGGACTAAAAGCTCGCCAACTTCAGCTTCTACATTGCGACCCCCTGACCAGGGTTCTTCAAACAGTACTGCAAGCCCAGGACCGAGCCCAATAGAGAGACGAGCGGACACAGAGACTAAAAACGGCATAGTATCGAATACACCTCCACCAACGATACATCGCGCACGCAAAACTATGTCAAGGCCGGCCTCAAACCAGTCACTAAAGGTAATGAGGATCTACCGCAGTGAAACATTCTTCTACATCAGCTGCACTAGTTATGACGTCAGTGCATTCAACACTGAACATCCCACAATGCCGTGTTTTGGTCTTTTTTTAGGTCTGCTCATGAATCATGGTCATGGATACATATAATCGCATTTCTGTTCCTCCTTCAGCTTTTGAATAGGGAAAATAAGGAGCCAGTCGTGGTGAAAGATGACAGTCTGGGCAAACCAGAGACAGTGCAGCCTCAGCCATCTCCAATCCAGAGTCAGCTACCTCAAAGCCAAACTGATGCCACATCTATACTGAACACCACACCAGCCAAGCCACAAACAGGTTATACACTGTATTACCTTTATTTGCGTCCAACAAAACTGATTGCTCTAAAGCTGTTTTGATGTGGTATTCCATTTACATTATATTTACATATATCTATATATATATATGTATTCTGTATCTGTAATAACAATATATTGTTATTAAAGTTTTTTTATTTATCTATCTATACTGGATTGATTTATACTGGTTGTTGGATACTTCATTGTGCTTATTTCCACAAATAATTTTTTAAATCACTTAATATTATAATTTAATATTAATTAATTTAATCTTTAGCAAGTCAATGTGTTTTTCATACTGTTTGTTTTAGTGTTATAAAATTGTATACTGTTTGTTTTAGTGTAATAAAATTAAGTATTACATTTTAAAATTAAGTATGCAGTATACAGTGGTGGCCAAAATTATTAGAACACTTGGCATATTTAAGAGGTTTCAGTTGTTTTTGTTGAATTGGCCATTACAATACCCATAAACAAACTATTGCCAGAACTACCTGCGACAGAAGGAATCTGCTGGAACATTGAAAATGATGGACTGTCCCCCTCAAAGTCCGGAACTCAACCCCATCGAGGCTTTACTCTACTCTTTGGCTTGAGTTGCAGAAAAAAAAAGTGGATAAAAACAGTACGACTCACTTCATCTGATATTTGTGCTCAGAGCAACCATCTGCATGTTTCATGAACATTATGAAATTAAATCATGTTTTGGAGGCAAAACTCAATATTTTCAGATCTGTGAGGTGTTTTAATAATTTTGGCACCACTGTATAAATGTATTTTAGGCACTCCCAGATTATATATTACATTTACAAAATATCTTTGTAAACTTAACTCAGCAACTGTCTCTCAACTTTTATTTTTGACTGAAAATAGTGGACAAATGGAAATGTCTGGTAACATTGTAATTAGCTTACACATTGTGTTTGTTGAAGAACTTTTGATGGCCAAATTGGCAGCAACAAGTTCATCAATTATATTGACATTGTCAAACATGGTTCAAGTTCAAATTGAAATGCAGATAATTTGACCTACAGTATGTTTTACAGTTTTTCATAAAAATGATCACATTGCTTTTACAAAGAATTAAGTGCTTGAAAACAGGCCTGTATACCAGAATTCTCTCTTTATGCATTGACAGTTGAACCCAGACCTGTCTCTCCCTCAGTAGCAGCTGTGTCAAGGAAGAAGAAAAGAAAGATGGGAACTTACAGTCTTGTGCCCAAGAAGAAAAATAAAGTCTTGAAACAACGCACAGTTCTGGAGATGTTTCAGCGTATGTCCCAGTCTCCACCCAACCCTCAGGTCAGAGATCGGACCTCCAGATTCACACCTAAAGAGTGGAAAAACTGTAATGTTTTATGTTGTGTTGTGAAAATAATCTTTGAGTAGTTGCTTAGACTGAGTTTTGACTGTAAGTAACCTTATCTTAATAGTTTTGCATTGCTAATTGGTTAACTTTTTCTGTACTTATTAAAGCCAAGGCATGTGAACGTTGACATCTAATGCCAGCCTTTTTATTCCTTGGCTTCACAGCTGTCAAAGGAATCCGTGCATGTGAATGGCGAGAGAATGGAGAATGAGTCTGATGAAGAAGAGTCAGAGGAAGGAGAAGACACGGAGGAGGATGAGGAGCTGGTCAGAGAGGATGGAGCCAAGGCCTCTCAGGAGGGACCCAAGATAGCTTCAGTTTCTCAGGTGGGAATTGAGCAACAAAACTCATTAGCCAATGGAAAAATGGTCTCATCCATTCTTGTCAGTTATTTCCTGGATTTTTTGGGGCCAAACGGCTTGTTCACTGAATCTGTGAACAAGTACAGTAACGTCTACACATTACATTCCCCTGTTAATTTGTTCATTTTTCATTCAAAAGCCTCTTGAAGAAGAACAGGAGTCTGAGGAGTCACCAGAGGGCGAAGGTGAAGAGGAAGGGGATGAATCAGACATGGTGAGTCCCCAAATATTCTCTAACATCGAGTATCAGAAAACACAGTGTATAACCTAGAGTCATTTGGATAAAATGCTTTGAGACCAGTGAGTTTCACAGATTTGATTTGAGGTTCCTGAGATAATGCTTTGTTTCAGTTTGTGGACTGTAAGTTACTTCTGTCCTCCTCAGAGTTCAGAGTCCAGTTTGAAAAAGAAATGGAAAAAGAAAGTCAAGGGGGACCACGCCTGGCTCCGACCATCAAGGAAACGCAAGAGGAAATCGAAAGCGAAAACAGAAGGACTTTCAGGTACAGTAAATGTTAAAATCCATGCTTTCCTCAAATATCTGCTGTAGGGCAACAACTCGGCTGTTAATGAGTTTAATTTACAAATCTCATTATGTCTGTTCCATCATAACTCCAGGAATGGAGTCCCAGTCTCAATCTGAGAGCCAGAGCTCCCCATCAGCCCCTTCTGACAACAGGAAAGAGTATAAAGAAGTCCCACTAGACTCCCTCAACCTAGCGGCACAGGAAGCCTTACTGTCATCTCAGAGTACAGGTGAAATTAAATCCCTTGGCATATTGGTTAGAGAATTATTATTATTATTATTATAAGAATATTTTGCTATTTAACTTGGGAAAGCATTGAATGATGCAATGGTTTGCTTTTTGACTGTATGAGGAAATGCAAAGTGTAGTCTGTTTCTTGTTAAATACTATATAAATTTGTCTTCTTTTCAAGCTGCAATTTGTTAATTTCTTTAAATCAAGTCGAGTTTTTGCTAGTTGAAATTGGCTTCTTTATCTGCTTACAAATCAAATTTTTGTCAGACTATTCCATTTGATTGGTTTCGAGCTCAGCATCTTGAAAGACGCATTTGTGGAAAGTTCAGAGCTTGATTACTGCCTCCATCTTGGATAAAATGAGTCATCAAGACGCAACTGATATTGTGCCCCCTGGTGGTCATGTGTCTATTGAAGAGTAATCCTGAAGCAGTGTGTGCTATCTGTGCAATGTTTATCATCGATATACATCTCATTATGAAGTAACATTGATTTCCTGCAATTGGTTTCCAAAATGATGGTCTTTCAGCTCTTTCATGATTATTAGAGTCTTACAGATGGTGTTTCTCAGCTGTTTCAGGGTCAGTGGAGAGCACAGACGCTGACATGGTGCAGGAACTGCCCCTTTGCAGCTGTCGAATGGAGATGCCCAAGAGCCGAGAGATTCTGACGCTTGCGGACAGGAAGTGTATGGCGACTGAGAGCATTGACGGTCAGGTGAGATGGTTACCCTTGTGAATATGTAGCGCAGTCATGGTGACAGTGATTGCATTTTCAGGAATACATTATCTCGCTATATACCATGGGTACTCAACTCGGGCCCTTGACGGCTTTGAGATCTCGAGGTCCTCACTTTCTGATCCAGCTAACCTTTCTAGTAATCCTGAAGATTTTTATTGGCTTGTTCAAGTGTGTTTGATTGTGCTTATGAGCTAAACTCTGCAGAAAACTGGACCTTGAAGGCCAGAGTAAAGAACACCTGCTATATACAATCTGAATATGGGTACCAATTTTTGAAATGAAATGAGGTGAATAATTCGGTTCAGTACTTAAGGTCCTAGGATTCATCTAACCACTGAATACTTGGCATCTTTTTCTGTAATGTCTTATTTCATGCTACAATACACGTTTTTTTTACTCTTTTTTTAAAAAGTCGAGGTTCTGAACTCTATTCTAATTGGTTCCCTGTTGTTCCGGGGGTAGCTGAGCCGTTGTCAGAGTGCAGTGCTGAAGCACGAGATGATGAGGCCTTCAAACTCTGTCCAACTGCTGGTTCTGTGTGAGGACCATCGCACGGGCATGGTCAAACATCAGTGCTGCCCAGGCTGTGGCTTCTTTTGCAGAGCCGTGAGTCTTTGGCTTTACCCAAGCGAACGTTTTTAGGTCTTTGATTGGGTTTCAGCATGACAAGCCAATGGCCAAGAAATTCTTGACTGAGTGCATGTGTCTGAAAAAGCTCCAGAGTTTTTACTTCAGCCACATTTGAGCAAAACACTCAAAGGTATTTCATGTGGCCATCGTGTAGGGTGTCTTCATGGAGTGTCAGCCAGAGGTGAACATCTCCCACCGGTTTCATCGAGCCTGTGCCTCGGTGCTCAACGGTCAGAGCTTTTGTCCACACTGCGGAGAGGAGGTCAGCAAGGCGAAAGAGGTCACCATTGCCAAGGCCGATACGACGTCTACTGTGCCTCTCACCCACGGCCCCTGCACGCCCAGCACCTCAGAGGGCAAAGCGGACACTACCACTGGAGGGTATGTGCAAGATGTTTAATTTATGTACCTATGTAGGACATTCTGGATCAGCGTTCTTGTAGGATTTTTGTTTTGTTTGTTTCTCCAACTTTTGGATTTTAATTGTTTTGTTGGTCATTAAAGGTCCACTCGGCTCTCTGTTCTTGGAGAGGGCAAAGCAGATAGCACCTTACCCAGACCTACACAGTCACAGGACACATCTGTGTCCCCTTTGTACTCGAAAACTGGGCCTGTTGGAGCTGAATTTGGAAACGGACTTCCACCAGGACCACCTAAAGAAACTCTGGAAAGTGTCCTGCTGGCTCTAGATGCAGAGAAGTAAGGAAACCAATTATGGCCTTTGATTTAGCCATATTATCCATACTAACATGGGGTTCAATCATTATGAGCTCTTTATGAACATTATCAACTCTTCATTTTTTCTCCAAGACCCAAAAAGCTTCGATTTCACCCAAAACAGCTGTATATTTCTGCCAAACAAGGAGAGCTGCAGAAGGTCCTACTGATGTTGGGTAAGAGAGAGGAATAAGGTTGTTGTCTTATTCATGGTTGTCTGCTCTGTGCTGGAAACCTCCTTTCTCATTCTCAGTGGATGGGATAGACCCTAACTTTCAAATGGAGAGCCAAAACAAACGCACACCGCTCCATGTAGCAGCTGAAGCAGGTCATCAGGAAGTCTGCCATATGCTGGTCCAGGTGAGGGCAAATGCTAGTGAACTAGTATTAACTTCACCATTTTCATCAAAATTCATCAACCTGTATGACTTTATTTCTTCTTTGAAACACAAAAGAGAACTCTGTAATAATTCTCAGATCTCATTTGCATATACTATTGTGACTTATCAAGATGTGTCACGGCTAGTTTAACCTCAGTGACTTTGTTGTCATTAAAATCAATGATCTCATTCCTTAGGCTGGTGCAAACCTTGACATGTGTGATGAGGACCAGCGGACGCCCCTGATGGAGGCCTGTGAGAACGATAATCTTGACACAGTGCGCTATCTTCTGAGAGCTGGAGCCATTGTCTCTCACAAGGTCAGCAGCCACGAGCAAGAGGGTTGATAAGCCAGTCTGTTTAGTACAACATTCTGTAATCAAATGCTTTTTGATGAACATTCGCTCTGTTTGAAGACTGATCACATCCTGTTTCCTTTTCTTTTCAGGATGTTGAGGGTTCAACATGTCTCCATCTTGCTGCTAAGACTGGGCATTTCGGCATTGTACAACATTTGCTGTCTACAGGAATTGTAGATATTAACTGCCAGGTTTCGACCTTCTTTTACAGTTAACATTTGTAAAAATATTTTGAGAATGTGAGATGTGTTTTTGGGGATTTCCACCATTTGAGTCATTAGACTCTGCCAAACATATCTCAGGAATTTCACAAAACAACTACACCAATAGTCCTCAAATGTTTCTCAAATGTTACAAGGCATGTTAATGATGCACTCCCAATTTTTTTAATTTGTGTAGATTTTTTTTTCTTTTTGGTCATTTAAAAATTCCACAGCAGAAAATACCTTATTGCATTTTTCTTTGGCTTTTAATAACCACAACAAAAGAACTTTTCACTTTTCCATTTAAAAGGTTTTATCTTAACCTTAAAGCTTTATAATTATTATTATTATTATTTAATGATTGATTTAATGAAGGTATATACCAGTAGTTCTCAACTCAAGGGCCTCATGATGACTTAAAAATGATTTGCATTTAAATTTGCATTTTTTAATTATTTAAAAAAATATATGGTTTCTAGACCTGGAAAAGCCATGCAAATGAATAAAATCTTAAAACGCCATGGGCATTTTTGTAATTCATATACATTGTTCAAGTTATTCCAAACTTCACTATTATAGTATTTCATTGCATAGAAATTGTGAGTAAATGGTACTAATGGTGCTTTCAATATTGTTGTGGACAATAGGAGCCATTGGAGTCAAAAAGACTGACATGTAGTTGTATTTCTTGTTCCAGGATGATGGAGGTTGGACAGCCATGATTTGGGCCACGGAGTACAAACATGTAGACCAAGTAAAACTCTTGCTCTCCAAAGGGGCTGATATCAACATCCGAGACAAGGTCTGTGTGCTATGTTTTGTATTCTGGAAACTGCAATTTAATATATCAAAATTACATCTGCAGTTTTAGAATATTTTGTAGTCTACTTTCTGTCCTAATTTCAGTTTTTACATAGGTTTAGATGACGAAGACTGTTGAAAATGCAGTGTATTTGATCTATTACAATCAAAGTTAATAAAGTCAACTTTGATTCTAGGAGGAAAATATCTGTCTGCACTGGGCAGCATTCTCTGGCTGTGTGGAGATAGCTGAGATCCTGCTGGATGCCAAGTGTGATCTCAAAGCCATCAACATCCACGGAGACTCACCGTTGCACATAGCGTCACGGGAGTGCCGGCTCGACTGTGTGAAGTGAGTAAACCTCCACTAGGTTTTATCGATCCAGACTGATTGATTGGGAAACTTCCTTTCAGTCTTACAGGTCTGTAGTGAGTGAGCTAGGCTTATTTACAACTTAGAGACGTCTGAGCATCCTCCTAGAAGATAACTGTACTGCAGGATTACACGCATATCATATCCGATGTACTGCAGTCTAATCAGGTGCTTGTGTAGATCCTAATCAGCTTAAAGCTGCATTTTTTTATTGGCGACTGGATCAATGTCATATAGATTTATTGGAGCTGGACGCTAGCAATAAAGGCTTGCTCTCATCATTTCCTGGACAAATTTTATTATTGATCCGTTGGCAGGCAGTTATAGTGATTAGTTGGAGTCCTGAATGTAATATTGCAACAGGAGATGATGGATTACAAATATGTTTTTTTTCCTTAGTTGGTTTGTTTCAGGTCCACCTCTAAATCAAAACAAAACCTTTAAAGTGAGGATGAAAATGTGTCTAAGTCAAAAACATTTTTTTGGGAAAATAGTATAGTTACATGTTGTTGTTGTTGTTTTAGTAGTTATAGTAGTAGGGGTGGGCACATTAAACGGTAATTTAGTTCTTAAAGGGTTAGTTCACCCAAAAATAAAAAATTAGCCTGTGTTTTACTCACCCTCGAGTCATCCTAGGTATATATGACTTTCTTCTTTCAGACAAATCCAATTGGAGTTATATAAAAAATTGTCCTGGCTATTCCAAGCGTTATTATTGCTGTGGGTGGGTGTTTGTCTTTAACAGTCCAAAACACGGTAAATAAAGCGCGTGCATCCATAACAAAGCAAGTACCAAAAATAAAAGTATCGGTATCGGGCGAGTACTGGAAAAAGTGGTATCGGTGCATCCCTAATTTTTAATATAACTCTGATTGGATTCGTCTGAAAGAAGAAAGTCATATACACCTAGGATGGCTTGAGGGTGAGTAAAACACAGGCTAATTTTCATTTTTGGGTAAACTAACCCTCTTAAGTGAAATCGAACGGCTGAGAAAGAAAACGTGTAACAGTATATTGGATCCGGGCAGCTCTGTCTGTCTGTCTGTCATTCATGTTAATCAAACAACAAAAGAGATAAAATCTTTCAGTACTTTTGACTAAATCACTTGCAACTAATATTTATAAACTTTAATAAGAAGAAATTTGTATTTAATCTACACAGTAAAGAATATGCAGTGTTTTTATACATTGGATTACTTTATATAATCAATGTTTGTAGCATTTATTATTCTACTGTAGTTTTTTTGTCCTATTGCTTGTAATAAGTTTCTTATTCTTATTTAATCACTGTTTTGTCTTCACTGAGCTTGAGTTTTTTTTTCTTTTTTAATTTAGACTAGTATGTGTTTTGTGATAATTGACAATGGTGATTAGAATTTCTTTATCAAAAATTTTTTTGATAAAAAATATATATACTATATTGTGCTATATATCGTTACCATAAAATTACTCATTTTGTGATCATATCGCTCACCCCTAAGTAGTAGTAATAATAATAAAAATAGTTTTTTGCATTTTGTTTGTCCTAACCTTCAAGAATGCCTCTTTTGTAGCTTGTTTCTGTCGCGTGGTGCTGACATAAGCCTCAAGAACAAAGAGGGAGAGACGCCCATGGATTGCTGCAGCCAGAACTCGAAGGTTTGGAACGCCCTTCAAGCCAGCAAAAAGCAGAGAGAAGCTAACAGCAACCAGACTAGCCCAGTAGAGAAGCTTCTCAACAGGTAGATCCACTTAATTCGTATCTCACTGTCTACACCAGAGCTAAGACCTAAATTAGTCTATAAATTACTGTGTAATTGTGTTTAGGGACATCGCCAGAGGCTACGAGAAGGTCCCCATTCCGTGTGTGAATGCAGTGGATAGCGAACCTTGTCCTGACAACTACAAATATGTCCCCGATAGCTGTGTGACATCCCCGATGAACATTGACAAAAATATCACCCACTTGCAGGTAAACAAGCGGAAGTATTTAAATTATTTAAATAAGTATTTTTTTTAATTGTAACACTTTTCAAATCTCATTGATTAATTGTTTTAGCAATGTAGACAAATATGAGTTGGCTGGTTAGCTAAGACAAAACTTTAAATGAGTAATATATTCCTCTAAACTAAGGAAGATGATGTATAACGGTGTTATTTCATTCCACAGTACTGCGTCTGTAAAGACGATTGCTCCTCAGCTAGCTGCATGTGTGGCCAACTCAGCCTGCGCTGCTGGTATGATAAAGTAAGTCCATTTCTGAGCACTTCCATCCTTAGAATCTAATAACTAAGCTGTTAGGGATGTTATATGTGTAAATTCTGAATATTTTGGTAATTCTGAAGCACAGTTACATGAATTACTAGCTCTAACCTGTTGCTAATATCATTTGATTTGGCAAACATCTCCACCTAGAGGTGGAACTAGCTAAATACAAGACAGTGTGAGATGGTCTAGGCAAAATTATTAGTGTGGCTAAATCAAATATCACTATTACTAAAGCCCACACTTAGAGGTAGGTGTTTGTTAATTGTATTTTAAGTATTTATATATATATATATATATATGTATGTGTGTATATATAAAATGAACACAAAATCCTGAAGTTTATTTTACTAAAAATTCTGGAATATTTGACAAAAAATTTGTAATATTTTAAACAGGAAATGTGCACTCCAAAAATAATGCAAAATAGTTTAAAAATCAGTCTGACCCAACCCTTTAGTATTCATATATACTTCATATATTAATTCTATTGTAGTACTGTATATGATCTGGATTGAGTGGTATCCTCTTAAATTATTTCTTAGGATAAGACTGCAGTTGTTCAGGACGCAGATGATGGGATGGGGTGTCAAGACATTACAGGATATCCCTCAAGGAACGTTTGTTTGCGAGTGAGTTTCTTATGATGTTTCTAAAGGTCATTGAGGCCTGTGTTATATCTTCCTGTTTCAGTCTAACTGTGTGTGTGTTTTATGTTTGTTTAGGTGTGTATGTATGGATATGTTTGTGTGCTTAGTGTGTTTGTACCCTAATGTCTCATTTCCTTCCAACAGATACGTGGGTGAGATCATCTCTGACACCGAAGCAGATGTCAGAGAGAATGACTCCTATCTTTTATTGTAACACTTTTCAAATCTCATTGATTAATTGTTTTAGCAATGTAGACAAATATGAGTTGGCTGGTTAGCTAAGACAAAACTTTAAATGAGTAATATATTCCTCTAAACTAAGGAAGATGATGTATAACGGTGTTATTTCATTCCACAGTACTGCGTCTGTAAAGACGATTGCTCCTCAGCTAGCTGCATGTGTGGCCAACTCAGCCTGCGCTGCTGGTATGATAAAGTAAGTCCATTTCTGAGCACTTCCATCCTTAGAATCTAATAACTAAGCTGTTAGGGATGTTATATGTGTAAATTCTGAATATTTTGGTAATTCTGAAGCACAGTTACATGAATTACTAGCTCTAACCTGTTGCTAATATCATTTGATTTGGCAAACATCTCCACCTAGAGGTGGAACTAGCTAAATACAAGACAGTGTGAGATGGTCTAGGCAAAATTATTAGTGTGGCTAAATCAAATATCACTATTACTAAAGCCCACACTTAGAGGTAGGTGTTTGTTAATTGTATTTTAAGTATTAAACTACCTTACATAATATTAATATCTTTGTCTAAGCAATAAAACAGAAAAATTATTGGCGACCTGAGCATTATCTATGAACAATAACATCATAAAGACTTTTTTGTTTTAGGCCAGTAAGTAGCTATGTAGAAACCACCCAGAACACACTAGAAACTGCATAACAATGCATTTACATTTACATTTAGTCATTTTTAAATAAAAAATAACAATGCCATGAAAACCACTCAAAATAATCTAGCATCATGGTGGCAACTTATGAATGCAGAGCAATACTGACTTTTTAAAAAAAAAGATTTTTTTAAATTTTGTTGCAATGTGCTTTTTAGTATTAGAGTTCAAATGCTTTGTGTTTGTGGTGTCAGGAGAGCCGTCTGCTGCCTGAGTTCTGCAATGAGGAGCCACCTCTTATATTTGAGTGCAACCATGCCTGCTCCTGCTGGAGAACCTGCAAAAACCGTGTGGTACAGAACGGACTGAGGTACCTCACTTCCACATACATTCTGGATGATTAAACCCCCTTTTCAACAGCTGTCAGATTAAACAATATTAACACATGTATTAAAATGTGACATCAGTGTGGCGGTTTTTCTTTTTTATAGGTTTTTCTTTGTTTTTTCCTAAATATGCTGATTTATGTAGATTTTGCTTGTTCATTAAAAACGAGATGTCAATAAAATAACTGCAGTTAATCTCATGATTTTCATTCTTGTGTATTTAAAGTTTGTCATCCCTTAAAACATTTTTTTTCCTATTCATATTTTGGTGTACCTTTGCAGCTCCCTGGAGATATAGATTTCAGTTTGTAAACTCCTTATCTAGAGAACACGCAGGGTGACTGATAGCTGATATTATATATATATCTCAAGGAACGTTTGTTTGCGAGTGAGTTTCTTATGATGTTTCTAAAGGTCATTGAGGCCTGTGTTATATCTTCCTGTTTCAGTCTAACTGTGTGTGTGTTTTATGTTTGTTTAGGTGTGTATGTATGGATATGTTTGTGTGCTTAGTGTGTTTGTACCCTAATGTCTCATTTCCTTCCAACAGATACGTGGGTGAGATCATCTCTGACACCGAAGCAGATGTCAGAGAGAATGACTCCTATCTTTTTAGTCTGGACAGTAAGGTATCGCCATCTTAGGATGACTCCCCTTCAAAATCACATTACCTCTCCTGTCTGCTCCTGTCAGTAGTGGATTATCTGCATGCCCGCAAGCAAATTTCACCTATATATATCCTGTAGATGACCCTTGTCAGCACAGAATAATGATTTATTTGGCTGTACCATGATACTTTTGGTAATAGTATTTTAGACCTTCAATAGTCTTGCAAAGACAGATGTTGGACTCTTGGCATAAAATCTGGGCTGCAGTGCTTATTCTGATTTCTGAAGGATCACGTGACACTGAAGACTGGAGTAATGATGCTGAAAATTTAGCTTTGATCACAGGAATAAATTACATTTTAAGATATATTCAAATAAAAAGCAGTTATTTTAAATTGTAAAAATATTTCACAATATCACTGCTTTTGCTGTATTTTGGATCAAATAAATGCAGGCTTGATGAGCAGAAGAGACTTCTTTAAAAAAACA